TGATCTTTTCGGCCTTTCTAGAGGTTGGTTTTCTTCAGAGTCTTGTTCAGGAATGAATTTCGGTTGATAATCATCATTTGGTTAATAATCATCATGGTCTTGGATATCAAATGGAGTGACATTCTGTTCTGGATTGACATTTGGTTCTGGATTAATGCTCGGCTCTGGAATGACATGTGATTGTGATTCATCTGTCAGCAGTTGAGAATTACCTTTTAGCGTTGGAAGGACTTGGTTTTTTCTAGTAGACTTACATCCCCCCTTGGAGATAGGTGCTTGAGGGATATACAGTTGACTTTCTTCCATCATTGTGTTTAACCAAGGCATAATGAGGGTTAGCATCCATCAGCTCTACTTCCTCAACTAAAGGATCAAATTTTGATGGCCGAACATTTCTTTTTAAGAATATCGGTCCTATGGTTTCATGAGCCAAGCTAGCAGTGAGGTACCATTGAGGGATCGCCGAGGATGAATGAAAAACCTTTCATGTGGCGTACTGTTAGTTGAAGTGCACAAAAGAGATCTTATGGAGTGCAATGCATCATTGACTACAACTTCCCATTGTTCTACCTTTAGTGACCTGGACTTCAGAGCTAACAAGATTGCTTTCCACAATGTTCCTTTGAACTTTTCAACTTGGCCATTTCCTGCTGAATTATATGGAGTCGTTTGACTGGTGGCTATTCCTCTTTTATGAAGGTAGTCTCTGAGTTCTTTCTAAAGAAAAGATGTCCCTCTGTCTGAATGAATGTTGTTTGGCATTCCAAATATTGAAAATAGATTTTCTAAACAGCGAACTACTGTGCTTGAGGACATATCACTGCAGGGATATGCGAAAGGGAAGCGTGAATATTAATCGATTATAGTCAATAGATATCGATTTTGTGTGCAAGATGGCAAAGGACCCTTAAAATTTACATTTAGTCACTCAAAAGGTTTTGTGGCCTTGATAAGGTGAGCATTTGTAGTTTTATAGAAACGATGTTTAATCTCTGCACACATTGGGCATTTGTTTGTCATTGTTTTAACATCCTCAACCGAGTAAGGGAGGTTTTTATTTTTTACCCAGTGGTACATCCTAGTGATACCAGGGTGGCAGAGTGACTGGTGAAGTGCAAAAAGCTTGTCATCACAATTTATGTTTGTGACAGCTACACAAACGCGTGAAAATGCATCTGCGGTGACGTTTTCTTTGCCTGGTCTGTACTGTATGTCAAAAGAATAAGGTGACAACTCAAGACGCCATCTAGTGATTTTCTCGTTCTTTATTTTACTAGTATGCCGACTGTTGAACACAAACGACAAAGCCTGTTGATCGGTGATTAATAGAAAATGTCGCCCAATGAGGAAATGTCTCCAGTTCTTTAGAGATTCGACTATGGCTAGGGCTTCCTTCTCAATAGAGGAATGACGTTTTTCACAATCGGTCAATATTTTGAAAAGAAAGCGACAGGCCTACCCTTTTGACTTAGCGTGGCAGCGATAGCGAAGTCAGATGCATCTGTTTCCACAACTAATTGAGAAAGATCATCAATCACGGTGAGTATTGATTTTCCTATGTCTTGTTTAATTTCCTGAAAAGACAAAGCTGGCAAAGATGAGGGCAATATAGGAAAATATTTGCAATCAATCAGAGGCCGAATCTTGTTTGAGAACCTGGTACCCCACTTTGAGTAGTAAGAAAATATTCCTAATGCACGTTTTAATTGAGATGCATTAACTGGCAATGGAAAATCTAACAAGGGTTTCAGACGCTCTGGATCTGCTTGCTTAGACTGGTAGTGAATTTGATATCCTATAAGATTGATATTATGTCTTGAGAAAATTTGCTCTCATTATTTAGAGTAATATTATATTTCTTAGCTACCTTTAAGAATTTATTCAGCCTTTCATCATGTTCTGGTTGAGTTTTTCCGGCTACGGTTATGTCATCAATGAAAGCCCACACCCCTTCTAGTTCTTCAGGGGAAATAATCTTATCAATCGTGCTCTGAAAAGCAGACACACCATTTGTCACACCAAATGGAACCCTACAGAACTGATAGTTTTCCTGCTGACTCAAATGCTGTGAAATTTTTCATGTTCCGATATTGGCATTTGATGGCAAGCCACCATCAAACTATTAAATCTATAGTACTGAATATTTTATTTTCTGCCCAGAAACATAACATAATAGTATAACATAACATAACATAATCACAGTCCATATTACAATAATCAGCAATGACATTGCATACTACTTTCCATGCATGCTCAAACCCCCTCAGCTCCTGGACTATATCAATCAGAGACGTAATGGATCTCGACGTACTATCTATTGGTATTACGATAGACGTGACGTAACCGTAGCCTCAGCGTTATTCCATTGACTAACCAACACAAGGGAAGTATGTTTTATCTATGGTTATTCAAAACCATGAAACATGATTGCTCCGCTCAACTGACTTTCATTGCTATGAAAGCAATCCTAGTTGTTAGCAAACTTTGGTAAGGACAAAATTAGATGTAACTATTGAGCAAAGATTACTGAAGATAACTCGATATTGGGGAAGATAGATTAATGAGTGTTTCGTGTTGGTGACGTTTGAAATAACTGGCGTCAATTCAATGTTTCACTCTTAGTCTTATTTAAGGGTAGGTTTATAATTAAATTAATTGTTAAGCTGTAATTAGTCGAATCTAACGAAACAGTGTTTTTTTATTTCACGATTCTGAATCAACCACTCGACGGATTTTCATGGTTGTTGTGTTGAAAGAAAGATAATTTTGAGAACTAGGGAATGTCGAAGCCATAATTTTAGTTTAGGGCCCCAGTTTTTTAGAAATTGAGTTTTAATTTTGAAAAAGTCTAGCAGCCGACGCTAAGATTCTAAACTAGCTTTTGGCATAAAATAATTTGCTTAACATAACAGCTGTAAACATTCAGCTTTTGTGTCACAAATTCAGCATTTGGATAAAAATGTAAAGACATACTTAGGGTTGACTTATTTATACTATGTGTAATGCTAATCATTGATACGTTCAATTCTTCTGTAAGAGGATGACAGATTAATTAAATATACATAGTAAAATACTAGGATGTTCAAATTATTTTTTAAAGCAATCTTTGTAATCTTCGATTTGTTTTTGAGCAATATAATTTGTTTTAACTAACAGCTGGATAAATATAAAATATGGAACTATGAGGTTATTTTATTTACTCTTATTTTGTCATTGATTATAGGAAATAAGTAAGATTAGTAGAGATAATTATACCACAGTTTTAACCAAAATTAATTAAACCACAGTACAAATTTTCAAGGAAAGACTAGAAAAATAACAATGTTTACATGTTTTAATTCTTCATGGTAGCTTTTTGTTTACAATTACTGTTTGTCTGCTTTAACTTTGTTTGGATTAGGCCCGGAAATATTGATGTCACAAAAAGAAGATCAAGAATAATCCGGAATCACGATTTTAAATTACCACCACAACCTCAGCCGGGTTTTTTACAAAGATAAACAGATGGATGACATAGACTGAACACAACGTCAACATTGACCTAGGATACTGCAGTTAGACAAACCATCCTTTTATGAAATCGTGTTCAGTTGTGGTTTTGTTCGGGGGCGCCTATATCAGCGCCCCCAAACGTGAAAATATCACTTTGATTTCAACTATGAATATATTGTAGTTTAAATTAACTAATATGGGAAATTACGATGTACATTTATTCAATGAGGGTGGGTAATTATCAAGGATAGAACTGATAACGGTATGGATAATAAACATTGACAATTACGTCATTAGCTTTACTAGCGTGTTTACTTTTTATATTCCTGCTACATGTGACCAGTTCTTTTTTTTCAAATGAATGTTATTTGAACCAAACAGCTGTTTCAAAACAAACTGTTATTGTTTTTACTTTTCTTTGTTTACGCTTATTTATTTAGCAATTAGCCTAAAGCAGTGAAATTGATATAAAGGATAGGTGTGACGATTAGTTTTGATGTTAGGACACCAAATTTAAATTATGTGTACTGTGAATTTTATTGGATATTATCGTTTTATTTTAGGTTGTTTCTATTCAGACCTACTGGAAATTGTGTATAGTAAGTTGTATTGTGGTGATAATAATTATGGAAGAGGCAGGTATGCTATGGAAGGTGGTATATCGTTGACTAGGTCTATACACTTCTCAATTGACTATTTACTCTCATGATTACTCTCTCTACTGTAGGCTACTTATAATCAGTGTGCGTCTGTGCGAATCGGCTGCAAATCTCACTTCAACGCTTTTCACATCGTAAAAATTGCAGAATTGCTGTTTTATTGTAAAATTATGGGATTTAAAATGCAAATCGTATAGGCCTATGATGGAATAAAAACATATTTGGCCACACAACATTTGTTTACAAGATGATTTTTCACATTAAAACTGCAAGAAACTTTGTCTTTATATGTGTAAACTAGCCGATCTGAATTGTACACGGTTTTAACTGACTACTGAATTCCCGTACGTAGGACGGGCTAACACCTCGTTAGTATTAAAGTAAATTGTATTACAATTAATAATATTTATAGTATACAATAGAAGCTTGAATCATACTTATCTGTCTGCTGCTAATCAATCATACTAGAGCATTTTAGAGAGTATGCTCAAGCTGAGGTTTTCCCTTTATATTGATTTTTAAATCTAAATAAACTATTTATACCGAGCCACGGCATAGATTAAACATAGGAGTATGTTTAATCTATGGCCACGGCTCGGTCCAAGGTCCCACTACAGTAGTTTTGTCCCCGGTTCTATGTTTATCTATGCTAAAAGCTAAGTTATTTTCTTATATAGCTCGGCCGCTTAGAAAATGACCTGCGCGCTAATTCTAAACCAATGCTGGAGGAGGTCGTTTTCTAAGCGACCGAACTATAGCACTAGTACTGTATTGAATGAAAAACAGCTGATCCCTCGGTTTGTTGTGCTTTTTTTTCAGGAGAGTGCGCAGTGTCACAACTGGTTACTAACTTAACTGACTGGTAGTGTTGCGGAAAAACGAGAGTCAAAAGAGTGTTGAAAGAGTGGTCTAATTGTGACTTTTTCACAGTTTCAGTATTATAACGTGTACAATTTTCCTACAGTCATATCTTCAGTTAAAATATGTTAGTTGGTGTTGGTGTTATGAATGTTTTATATTCTGCCAAGTGTTATTCCTAAATGAACGTTATTTGTTGATGATTGTCTACAAACCAATTTTATGTGGAACAGGCTGCCATCTTGTATTTGAACAAAGCTTTGGGTGATTCTATTTATCCATTAAATTTATCTTATTTTGAGCTGTGCATTTCAATATTGGGTTTAGAATATGTGCGAACTATTTAACTGTATATTTTCATAGCCATGGCTGCGACGAGAAAGTTACAAGGTGAGATTTATATGCCATTAAATAGTTAAATATATGACCTCTTTCCGACCTGTTTACTTATTTTTCTGTATTTTGACAGGGAGTATATTTTATTTATCCTTAATGCCTATTTTACCCTTTTCTTGCCAAGGTTAGTTATATTGCTTAGTCCAATTTATCTACAGTATTTTTGAGCCAAGGATTATGATTCGTTTGTGTACACAAAACTGTTGTCAGGTGCTTGAAATTAGCCTATTTTCAAAGCCCTCATAAGTTAGATTTATAATCATTTTTTTAATATTCCAAATAATCATTTTTTACTAATTGAAAGCCTTTTCCAAAAACTCATATTGATTGTGCTTTTTACATTTTAGTAGTTAGATATCACTTTTCCTAAGTCTATTTATTCCCATAAGTATAACTTATTCATCATGTCAAATTCCCTCTCCCAGGTAGCCTATGAAATGTTTTCATTTTACTAGCCTGGTTAGGCCTGACTGATCCTAAGAAAACACTTCTAGGCCTAAGTTAAGTTAGACAGTTCATAAATTTTACCTTGATCTAGGCCTAAGGCGTTTGGGGTTTTAAAAACTTATCTTTAACTAGCCTATTAAAGTTTTCTAATTAACTTAGGCTAGAATTCAACAAAGGGTACTTAGGCCAAGGCCTGAATTATGTGTGAACTAAAAACTGCACTCAAACTTAACCCTCCAACTGGCACCGCGACTATAATAGTCACTGTAGGTGGTTTCTGTAGTAGCAGCGACTATAATAGTCGCGTTTTACAAGGTTTTGGTTAAATCCAAATAAGTGGTTAAAAATGATTAAGTAAAATGGAATAATTTTTATACCTTTAGAAATATTAATAAATTAATGATCAGCTGGTTAAACTACACTTAAAGTATGAGTAAGTTGAGTACCTAGGCTAGTCACCGGTCCGTATCACTCAGTTCCTTGTTCCTTTGCGTTCGATTTGCTCCGCGCCTTGAAAAGTTGTTCAGTATAATTTAGCAATTTGCGGTGTTTTCAAACCTCAAAAAAATGTTTTAAAGATAGGTAAGTTATTTTATTGAAAATTGGAATCTTAGGAATGGTTTAGGAAGGTTTCAAAGAAAAGTCCAGAAAGTTCAGATTTACCATTTATTGTTTATGATGTTAATGTTTTGACTATTCTAACCTAACAAAACCTAACCAAACTTGCTGTATGGTTTGATGAATCGGTTTTAGAAATTGGCATCTAATCAACTCGTACATAACTTATTCCAAAAGATAAAAAACAACATGGGTGTAACATCAATAAAAAAACCTGATCACCTATAACCTACACTTTACCTTCTTAACCTAACTTCTAAACACTTAATGCAGCCACAATCCCTGACCTGCCTTCCCCACATGCCTAAATGAGATCGCTCATTATATTTCAGTTTCAATTCAACTGATGAAGTAGATCCGTAACACTTAAGTTAATTTCTTGTTACAAGGTGTGTGATGTGCTCCGTGCTTTAACCCTCCGAGTGTTATTTGTCGCTGCAGCGACACATAACACACTTTGTGTAGTGTTTTGTGTCGCTGCAGCGACTCACAAACACTGTTTACGGCAAAGGCTCTATGACTGACAAAATCGGATTGAACTGAATCGAGTTAGGTACGGTATCGTTTTATTTGACAGATTCAGAGCTTTCTCCGGAGGTCTGTCTCTAAGCGCTATTAATTTTAGTTCCGAAAATATTGTAGCTGACAGCTGTATTTTTAAACAGCTTGGTTAGACTCGGACCGATGACTGATGTGTTTTATTATGTTTATCATTGTTTTAGTGTTAAAAATCAAAAGTAGTGACATACGTGGTGCATTATAAGAAGATTTAAGTGATTTTGAAGGGCTGGTTGATGATCCTGAAGATGTAGGTAGTGATATTGATGTAAATTATCAGCCAGATTCCTAGCTATGGTTAGGCTATGCATTCTTAGCTAAACGCTATGTACTGAAATCTGTTTTTTGCCCATAACTTATTTATTTGCAAATCTACTTCCTTATATTATTATACATTTGTAATCCTCATAAAATTTAGAACAAAGTGGATATTTTCAAATATTTATAGGCCTATAATTTATACAATTTCATTGAGCGTGAACTTATTTTTTTTTTGAAAATTTTCCAATTTTTTTTTACCTAAAAGATTTTTTTGAAACAAATATTCCTTATGTTCTATGTATAATATTGAAGCCCATGATTTTCCAAACAAAATGGTATATAGAACAGTATAATTAACATTGTTTTCAAGCTTCTCAGATCCGTTTGAATAAAACCTTGCAAATGAGCAAAAAATAGGCAGACTAAGGCCAAAACAAGGGACACTCAGAGGGTTAAGAAAGTAGTTCCATATATTTCCGCAATTTTTGGCGGTTTCCGCGCCTTAAAAAACGATATTTTAACGTTTATTAGGATTGTATGAATGGTTTAGAATTTAGAAGAAATGTCCAGAAAGTTCAGAAACACCAAGATAAGATTCTAAACTTGAACTTTGTTACATATGAGATTTATCACTTAAATTAGGCACTTAAGTGAACGAGTAATTTAATAAATCTGGAATTGATAAATATTAACAGCCGTTTCAATTTTAAACAAGTTGGTTCCATGATGCTCAAAAGCATTATAAAGTTACCGTACAAGGTTTTATAAAAGGATGCAGCACTTCTAACTTTTTGTTTAAATTTATGAAAGCAGTAACAAAAGTCTCTAATACAAAATGAGAACTGTCAAATAGGCTACCAAATTGTTGCGGTATTGTGGGAATAGGGCAATTTTTATTTATTTTTTAAGTGCAACTTATGGACTTTAATAATTAAATAATAATAATGTTACCTTCTACCGTCGTTTCAAATTGGTGTAATTTATGACGCGTTTCGTCAACACAGTGATATCATCAGGTTATCCGCCATTGCTTCGTCTTGAATATTAAAATAAAACAGTCATTACACAATCGCCAACAAATCAGGAGCTGGCTTTGAAATATACTTGGAAGAACCTTGGAAGACAAGACAGTGAAACCTATCGTAAACTAGATAATCGAGAAATAACTTAATAACCTTTTAAGGAGTAAGGCAGTTAATAAGGAGGAGATTATAATTATAACTCTAACTTAAAACACTTTTGAATAAGTTATTTTTAGTAAAATATTACAGATCAAAATAATTTTGCCAACAAATTATTTGGATTAACATACAGTTTTTAACAACTTTGTGGGCCTACAGCCTATTAAAATATTTACTTCTAAAGCTGGAGAATGAAACCTAAGGAAAAGACTGGGCCTAGGCCCTCCACAGGTGAAAATCAGGAAGGAGAAAAATGTGGAAAATGTAAAAAAAATGTACCTGAAGACGAAGCAGTATTCTGTGAAGGTAATTGTCAAGAATGGTTTGACCTGAGCTGCGCCAAGCTGTCAAAAAATGAGTATGAGTGTTTGAATGTGTTAGCGGATAAGGTGACCTGGTACTGTGATACCTGTGGCCCACTAGTTAAGGATTTGATTGCTATGAAAATTTCAAAAGGTAAGGACGAATGGCCTTCAATTCTGAATGTTATGATGACAAGTGTACAAAGTAGTACATCATTAATGCAGGACATGGCCTATAGGCTAGAAAAAGTTGAAAGTAATGATAGGGATGTCAAAAATAAGTTAACGGCTCTCTCATTGGAAGTTCAAACATTGAAAGAGGACATAAACACTAACCCTAGTTTGAATAAGCATTCTGGAAAAACACTTAGGACAGGTTTACCAAAAAGTGATTTGTTAGGCCTATCTGATAGGCTGGTGGTAGGCTTACCGCCTGAAGAATCTTTGCATAAGGAAAACTCCAGGGAATCAATGAAGGATGTCTCGATAGAATCTAGAAATCCGGAGGGAGAAGGTAGTGATCAAGAAAGGGAAAGATCCTACGTGGAAAATGAAGATTTCCCGGACATACACAAAAATATTTGGCAAACACAAAAATCAAGGTGTAAAAAAAATAATTTGAGCAAAGAAGCAACAGGAAGTGAAAGTAGGCCTATTATTAACTCTCAAGGAAATAGATCAAAGCCTCAGAGTGAAGTACATGCGGTGAATAAAGTGAGATCTAGCTACTCGGCGATCTTAGGGAAATCAACTCCCACGGAGGACATCAAACCGGCCACCAGATATTCCTGGTTGTTTGTTACGAGACTGGACCCCTCAGTGAAACCCGAAGCTCTAAAAACATATGTGGAAGACACGTGCAAGAGCACAAATGTGCGCTGTGAAAAGCTCAACACAAGGTACGACACATATTCATCCTTTAAGGTAGGCTGCTCTTATGAAAATCTTGACAAGTTACTTAACTCGGAATTGTGGCCCGAGGGTGTGTTAGTTTGCAAATACAAACCACCTAAAGCAATGAGATCTACAAAAAACAATGAAAATAAATTTGAAAAACCTAGGTCGTATCTTAACCAACAGAGACATAGACCTACTAATCAAAATAGTGTGGGCTTACAAGGAAAAAAACTAACATTAAACTCTGTCTTGAGAGTGGCGACAGAGTACAATGAAATTAATTATAATCTAGAAAATATTAGTCAAGCAGCTGAGTTTTCAATTCAGGCGGATCTGAGGCCTGCAGAAGGGACTGAACAGACTGAAGGTAACCGCAGCACGCCTATTCAAGGTAGGCCTAAATGTAAACCTAGCAATTTAAGAGTTTCTTACCTGAATGTACAATGTATAAGGTCTAAAATTAATTTAATCACACTATTTACAGAGAACCACCTACCTGATATATTATGTTTGAGTGAGCATTGGTTAACAGATGAAGAAGTACATGCTTATAATAATATTAGTAACCTAGCTTTGAAATCAGTTTTTACACGCACTATTCATAAAAATGGGGGTGTTGCTGTGTATGTTACTGACAAGTATAATACCAAGCCAGTAGAGTTAAATGAGTTTTGTGTTGAAATGGATATTGAGCTCACGGGTGTGGAAATAAGCGAAATCTCGACAATTG